AATTTTTTAACAAGCTAAGACACAAACTCAGACTGCTACTTCTTAACATGTTAGAATTTTAATTTCTTAGTACGCCAGGTTACTGGTCAACTCTGCAGTTGTAATGATGTTAATATGTAAAAGTATGCTGCTTTGGGGCTCAAAGTAGAAAAGCATTGTAATTCACTTTGGAAATCTCATAAGTCTCTGACTTCTTCAGCAAAGATTAGGCTGGAGAGGCCTACTCAAGTACAGAGTAAAAACAGTGTGTGGAAATGGTCACATGTGCATTCTTGTACTGCCCATCTGTGACTAATAATAAACATTAAACATACTTGCCTTGATAATAGAATTAAAAATTCTGCTTTTCTGAATTTTTTCTAGTTAGATAGTTAACTGGAGGATGTTTCTGTTGTAAGTTTACAAATTTGTTTTGATAACTCAGCAGCTGGAATTGAGTTCTGTAGAACAGTTGGACTTAGGTCGTTCAGAATTAAAGGCTCTGAATCCTATTGCTGAGTACAGGAAGTGTTTTTAACATAACATATCATAACTGATAACATAATTTATCAGTTTGAGTGTGCTGCGTTTGTATTTAATTCTATTGCAAAGTTAATAATAAATATGACTAGTGACCTGTAGATTTCTGTCAATTTACCTATATGACTGTAATGGGAAGTTGCCATGCTGAACCTGTCCCAGTGGTAACTTTGCCAGGTTGTAACACATTGCCTGTTCGTGGGGTGTCTTGAACTAACACTGGCCAGTGTAGGAACATATATGTCCTCTATGAAAGTTAACAGATAGAGTTTAACAAAGTGATCATTACTTGTTACTTTAATGATTCTGCCTATCTTCTGTATTTTGCTCTCCTTGAAGTATATAGCTGCCTTACTTTCTTCAGGTAAACAACACTTAGAAAATTATTCATTTTGTACATTAATGCTTCAGGAGCTCTGAAACATTTTCCCGTTTTTATTTCAGCCTCATCCCAGCCTGGATGAACTTCACCGACGAAGGAAAGAGATCATGGCCCAGCTGGAAGAGAGGAAGGTGATTTCTCCACCTCCTTTTGCACCATCACCAACCTTGCCTCATCCTTTTCACTCAGAGGAGGTAAGCATATTTTGACAAAAACATGAGATGCTGACATGTTTAGAAAATGCTTGGGCGTTTATGTGCTGATAGATGTAGACAACAAGAAAATCAGAACAGTGCAGCACTGGCAAGTGTTGGGGAAAGTAGGTTTTGTGCCCAGATGGTAAGCCCTTGTAGTACAGTCTCCAGCATTTCAGCTGGCTGTTGATCTACCACTGGTCTTAAGCTCTCTGCTTTCAGTACAACAACAAGAAAATTAATTTTGAGCCATTGCTAATTGAAGTAATCGCTCTTCACAGTTACTAGACTTTACTCCTGACATATTTAGAATGAAGTAACAGCTTGATAGAGATTTTTCTTTTTTAACCAGTGTCAGAATATCACCTTCAAACTGGCCAAGTGAACAGTCAGCACTGGGAGCGTAGCCAGGGGCTCAGAATTTCATGCACTTCATGTGTTCTCTGGCCCAGTTCCAGAGGGTGATGTATCTGATAAAAAATAATCCTGGTGATGTTTCTCAAGTTCACTACTGTTGAAGTGAACAGGGATGGCTGTGAAATTGCTTCTTCCCTTTACTTACAGAACCAGATTTTTGTTTTTGTACAGTACTTGGATGAAGACCTGAAGGTTGCTGGGAAATACAAAGGAAATGACTACAGCCAGTACTCTCCCTGGTCCTGTGACACCATCGGCTCCTACATTGGAACCAAAGATGCAAAACCCAAAGATGTTGTGGCAGCAAGGAGCGTGGAGATGGCGGTATGCAGGGATAAGGGGAAAACAGAAGAGTGGATATTTCTGTGGGTTGGGAAGGATTTTCATTTGCTTTCCATAATGATGGCAGTGCTTTTATTTAAGCTCAGAGTGCATTGTTGTCACAGAGAGCATTTGCAGGTGTGTGAAGCACTTTGTTTTCAAGGTTATGAACAGTCCTACCCTTGTGTAGTTGGTACAAAATTCTGCCTATAGATGCAGGATAACCATTCTACTCTGAAACCATGGATAGCAAGAATATTTTGCAAGGATTTTCTTTGTACTTACTTGAAATGCAAAAATTATTCTGTCCTGGCAGCTTGTTAATTAAGCATGCCCATCTGTTGCTCCCTGTACTTCTTTCTGTCAGAGGAAGATGCTGTAACTTAACTTTAGACAATTAATTCCTTTTAAGGTGGCTGTTATTTCTGTTAAGGGTGTTACTAGTTTTTCCTTGAAGGACTGTGATTTTTGGCCACAAGAGTACCCAAAACTTGCATGAAGTTTTTGAGACAAGCACAGACAAAACATTGTACTAGGCTGTTTCTTCTTGAAGGTAATTTCTACCTCTATACTGCACTTAGCCCTTCACTGTACTTTGGGAGGTGGGCTGTGGTCTTGTTTTGTGCTGCTCCATTTTTGCTAGGTCAATGTTGCAAAAGGAAGGAGCTTCTTGGGTGTTATTATTGGGAATCATTAATGGAGAAGAAAATATAGAGGAATCTTACATACCACCACTATTCAGTTTCTTCCTAACATTCAGGCATCACTCAACACGAGTAGGATGGTAGGTAGCCCATGCATGTAGGAAGTCATTCAAGCTCTTCTCTTTAGCCTGAGGAACTATTTCGCAGAGATTTAACTATTCTCCTTCACCCTCCCTCAACAAAAGTGATCTACTGACTTTTATTTTTGTATTGTCTGAGTCATGGTGATCTTTCTTTGGCCAATAGGAGGTGGGGAGGACATTTCTAATCAGAATTCATTCTTCTGTGGACAGATGCTCACCTGTTACAACCACTTAATTAAAACAGGATTTTTTTGGTTCAGCTTCTCCTCAAAAAGGCTCCCCTTTTCCCCTCTGCCCCATTGGAATTAAATTTCTCTTTTTCCTGTCTGCTGAATTGCTTTCCTCTTAAAACTTTGGAGCCACTGTTGGGAATGGACCCAAAAAGGAGGCTTTCTCCTGGAAAAAGCAGAGCAAAAAACCGCATTTCATCTCCAGCTTTGGCCTTTTTACCTGTCCTCTTGCTCTCAGTCCTACACAGTGTGGTTGCCTGGAGTTATCACGCTGCCACGTTTGACCTGGGGAAGTACTGAGATTACTTGGAATCAGCTTATTGCTGGCCATGTGGCAGCATCCAGGAATGATAAGCAGCTCTTGGCTGTCATCCCTGCTGCTAGAAACCTGCATAAAAAACCTGCAGCTCAGTAAAGAGAAGTAATAAGGTTCTGGAGAAATAACCTCCTTTTTAAGGCTAAACAAAGTATTCTTCTGCCCCAGAACTAATTTTCAGATAAGCAAAATGAGATTTTTGCTGCTTTTCAGTTTTTGTATCCTCACAGGAAAAAACTATCAGGAGACCTTTACTGAATTATTTCTTCAGTAATTTATTTTTTTAAATCGTTCATAAGATTCCCTTTGTGAAGGACGGGAGTAGTATCATCTGAGAGTGCATAATGCTGAATATTGTGTAGATGACATGCAGCTTTACTGAATAAATGGAAATATATTCAAATTGGTTCTAGCATCCTATGGCCTTGAGTTAAAAATGTAATTTTTTTTCAGAATTCCAAAAGTAGATTTTCCCTAAGGTTTCAGTTTCCAAGTATTACATTTCTTGACTTTAGCTTCCAATTTAGTTGTTACCTTTGTTGTTGTTCACCCCTTTATTCCTGCCTCAGAGATGTTAACTGTTTCTAGCAATCCTTATCCCCACTGAAAGCTTGCAGAGTTTTATTTTAATACTGAGCTATACCAAAGGTTGTAGCCTTTTGGTGTAGTGGCCTGACTTACCCTACTCTTTTTGTTTTACTGCATAAGGTTTTACTTCTTTAGCAAATCTTAACTTGATTTTGGCATTTCTTACCATGTTACATTTTCTGGTTGCCAACAGATAGCTTTCCTAATTTACTCAGCTCTTTGAGAAGAGATGAACACTTTCTCTCTTCATATGCTGACCCATTAAGGTGTTTGAGTCTGAAACTCGGTTAGAAACCAGGATGTTCCAAACAGTACTGCTGCTTAATGAAAAATGCCTGAAAATATGTACTAGACATGTCCAAGTAAGTGGTAACTGAAAAATTCCCATTCTAGGTCATTTGCAGGCTGTTAGGTGATACAATTCTTAACAGTGGGCTTCAGAGAAATTTCTTTTTGATTCTAGAAGGAATATATATTCCTCAGAGATGCACACTGATGTCTTCTTTGAATTTACATACGGGGTATTTTTTTCTCCCTTCTCTTCCCATTAGACTTTCTCTGTCTCAGTTTCCATTTGCTGCTGCTCTCTTCGTCTGGATTTGATCACAATTAATTTTGCAGCTTTTTCACTGGTGTAGGTTATGGTTATCTTAAGGTAGATCATTAAGGAGACGTCCCCTCTGACAGTGGAGTTAGAAAAACTGAAGAGTAGGAAAACTAGTTGAAAAGTGAAGGGAATAGAAAATACAAGACAAACTTACTGCACTTATCAAATTGTTGTGAAAGGAATGTGGTGCTGTTAGTTTCTGAAAGAATTTCTGAGTGCCTTTTCCATGTCTTGTCCAGAATGTGGACAGTAAAGCCATGCGTGAGCAGCGACTGGACATGCAGCGACGAGCAGCCGAGGCAGGGGACGATGACCTCATTCCATTTGGAGACCGACCAACTGTGTCAAGATTTGGGGCCATCTCTCGCACTTCCAAAGCCATGTACCAGAACTCTGGGCCCATGCAGGCCATGGCAGTTCAGGGAGCTGCCACCAAATCCATCATTTCAGGTATGATCTGTGCTCTTGGATTTTGCTGGCTGATGCTGTTTTCTTTACTGCTGCAGTGCTGTTCAGGTTACAGACAAGCCCTGTAAATTTGTATCTTGTCTTAGAAATGCAGCTGTGGTGTGTTACTGCCACTTAAAATAACTTCAGGTAAGGTTATACTGAGAAGAGTGAATTCAGAACAAGGTTGCCACAGATTCCTGAGATCACTTGGTCTGGACAAGAGGAGACTGAGGGCAGACCCTATAGCAGTCTACAGCTTCTTCCTGAGGAGATGCAGAAGGGCAGGCCCAGATTTCTCTCTAGTGACCAGTGATAGGACTGGAGCTGTGTCATGGGAGGATTAGGCTGGATATCAGGAAAAGGTTCTTCCCTCAGAGGGTGGGGGAGCACTGAACAGCACTGAACAGGAAATGGTCACAGTCCCAGGACTGTCGGAGCTCCAGAGGTACTGGACAATAGTCTCAGGCCCAGGGTGGGATTGTTGTGGTGTCTGTGGAGGGCCTGGAGCTGGACTTTGTGGTCTTTATGTGTTCTTCCAACACGAGATATTCACTGATTCCATTACATGTTTGTGCATACACAGTTCAGGATATGTTGTTGCTGTTTGGAAGAAGTTACCTTTTTTTGCCAGTCCCTCTGATATGAAGCTTATTTTAAGTCTGTAGCAGCAGAATCCAGAAGCTTAGCACTTTGCCAAGTACTTAATGCAAAACCATCTTGATGAAGTACTGTACTGCTGCTGTCCTGCTTTATGGATAGCTGCTCCTGCAAGCTTAATGCAGCCATTGTCTTGTGTACTGTTAGGCAAAGCAAAAAAGTTGGAATAGTTAATTTCCAATACGTTTATTTTCTAATCAAGTGTATTATATGTCTTTCTGTCTTACTCCAAAAGATTGTCTCTTTCTTGAGGAACACTGAATAATCTTAAGAAAATATATAATTATTATAACCCCCAGACTTGCTTCTAGCTTTTTCTTGCACTAATTCTTTAGGCTTTATTACAGGTAGAACTCTGACTGCCCTGAAAACTTAATCTTTAAACTGTAGTAACCTACATATGTCAGAATTATCAATGAACTCCTGAGTCTTTTAGGAACCTCAGTAGTAAAAATAACTGCAGTCATCATGTCTGTAAGTTTTGTTCTGTGTTTGTTCATGTGCCTGAGTATCTCAAGTCCTTTGCAGTCTCAAACTCTGGAAGGCTGTCACAAAGAGTCATGTGTTAGGTATGTGAGACTGGTTACAGAGAGTATTTCTGTGTTCATTTAATCAGAACAAGTGTTGAACTTCTCATAACTGGAGGGCTGGCCTTTCTTCTTCTCTGTCTAGTTCTGTGTTGGCTGAGCAACTGAAACAGTGATTTTGTAGTAATGCAAGGTGGTTTTCTTCTGTTCCCTGGTAGACTACAGTCCTTACGAAACCCACGGTGGCTGGGGAGGCTCTCCATATTCTCCTCATCAAAATATACCTTCTCAGGGACGTTTCAATGACAGGTAGGATTGCTTTATTTTTTCTTTGCCTTTTTCTAAATTTTCTTATATCTATTTTTTTCTGTGTCAATTGAGTGAAGATTTTTTTTTTGAAATTGCCTTATTTTCCAATCCCAAAGGGAGAGACTGTCCATGTCAGATGTGGCTGGTCATGGGAAGCAGTTGCCCTCAGCTGAACGAGAGCAGCAGCTGCGAATGGAACTGCAGCAAGTTGACCATCAGATCAGCCAGCAGACACAAATGCGGGGACTGGAGGTTGGTACTGGCACTTGGAGCAGCACTGGGGGGTGGTATGGAGAGAGATGATGCTGGTCAAGCTTTTCATGGGCTCACCTTTGTAGTGGTATTCAGTAACAGTGATGCCACACATCAGGGCTGTGGTGCAAGTGTCAGCCTTTCTGCTTAGCAGCAGAAACTTCCCTGCACTCCACGTACACATCAACACCATATTTCAATCTGCAGTCTGTGGTCAGTCTTGTTTGCTGTCATTCTCTTTCTCAGTCCCCGTCTGTTCAGCTCTACTCAGAGGCAAGCTTGTGGTGTAGGAGCCTGTTCTTCTTGACTTTAATGCTGTTGGAGATGTCTGATTTTATGTGCAGAAAGCCATGAGCTTCATCTGTTACGTGTTTGGCTTTTTTTGTACCTGTTTCTTCCTAAATAGCACAAACCACAAGAGTCAAGAAAGTAAATATGTAATATATTTAGCTTGAAAAATTAAGGCTTAATATTTTATGGCTCCTTGCTTAGAAGAGATGTAGTTGTAGCATAAGGGAAGATGAGTGTGTGTTTGAATTAATGAGCTGAAATCTTTTGATTTTGTGAGACAGAAGGAGAAATGTCAAACCATAATGAATGAATAGTTTTAGAAAGCTTTAGTTACTTTTTTCTTCTTAGGAAAAATCAGTAAATATTTACCAGAAAACTGTTCTAGGTACCTCAGCAAGTATTTGTGTTAACATTTTCCCAGAAGAAATTGCCACAAGTGGTGGATAGCAGCTTCTGCTGAAGCTGTGGTTAGCTAAAGAACACGTGTTACAGACAGGGTTATTGCAGATTAGTTTGAGCTCACAGTTAAGTCACAGCAGTAGTTGCAGTAATATGCATTTGTTAGTTACTTGAAACATAGCTTGTGTTCTTATGCTCTTGTTTGGGAATGGGAGGAGAAAATGTTTTCAATCTTGCATGTCTGCCTTTGCCATAATACAAGAGTATTGGAAAGTTGCAAAACCTCTAAGTGGCCTTCTCCTGCTCATCATTGTTGTGATTATGTCAGTGTTAAATCCTACAGAATTGAATGTTGAGCCTTAATTTTCCATAATATGAGTTTTGCAGAATTAGTCAATTATTTTGAGTAAGAACAGCTTTCAGTTTATCTTTTGTGTTTAAAGTTGCATGTAGATACTGGGTATCAAGAAATCTTCACTGGTTTGCCTATTACAAGGTTGCAGCAATCAATTCAGCCAGAGCATGAAGAACTAGATCATTTTGCTTTTGCATTGCATGAGCATTTCTGCTTAAAGACCAGCCAGATGTTGGGTTGTGTGGAGTACAAGATGATGTATTTAAATGCAGAGCACACACTCGCAGAACTGATTCACAGCTATTAGCAGATTTTTAGAATGGCTGACATGGCTACTGCTTTTAGTAACTTGCAACTTGTGAATGACCATAGTCACTTGCCCCTCTCTGTTCCTCTGTTTCCTAATATGAATCAGTAGAGACCTACATATTGACAACTACATCTCTCAAGATGATGTAATAATAATTCTGGCTCTGCTGTAGAATTAGATTCATTTTACTGCTGTAAATAAAACAGCAGACTTGCTTCTCTGCAGTTCTCTTTTGTTGAACATAGAGCTCAGAAGAGAGTAGTGTTTTTGTTCATGGGCTTAGTCTTAGTTTTGGGAAGGGAGTGGTATGTGAGGAAAACACATGCAAATATATGACAGCAAGAGGTATTTAACACTGCTTGTTTAAAAATGAAAATACTTGTCCATGTGTACAGAAACATGTTGAAATTTGCATTGGAAGTGATTTCAATTGGGACATTGAGAAGTGTGGTGAGAGGCGGCCTTGGTTTTGTAAATGAGCAATACTCTGGAATTATGGCCTTGGAGCTCTCTGTGCTTGGTGTGTTGTGTGCTCAGTTGTGTATGTGCTTGGCTTTATGCATTTAGGCTGTTAGTAACAGGCTGCTGTTGCAGAGAGAGGCGACTACCCTGGCAGGCCAACCACAGCCCCCACCCCCACCTCCCAAGTGGCCTGGGATGATCTCAAGTGAACAGCTGAGCTTGGAGCTACACCAGGTGGAAAGGGAAATTGGGAAGAGAACCCGTGAGCTGAGCATGGTGAGTGCTGGGGGGTGGGAGGCAGAGAGATGCAGTGAGAGCCTTGTACCTGGCTGCAGCCCTTTCACCCTGGCAGAAAGGGTCTCTGCTGGATGCCCACAGCTGGAGTCATCCATCTTCCTCTTCACCTCTGTACCTCCTGAGGAGTTTCTTGAATCTTCTTCATGAAGAAGTTTAATGTAGCCACTTCAAACTGTTGTGAATTTGTCACCATTTGAAATAAGCGTGGTGTTGAATTTGATGGAAACCAAATTGTCTCCAAGGTCACTGTGCCATGAGTTCTATAAAGGGCTTTAACATAGGGAACATCGTCTGCAGGTACAGGCTAGTGTTCACAAGTCCGTGTGCTGTTACAGTCTGTGGCCTTTGCTTGTTGTTACAAGGATCATCCCTTCCTTTTGAGAACTACTGTGTCCTGAGAGGATGAACATATCTAAAAGTCTGTTTTTGTCTCATGGCTTTTGCGGGTTAAACTGTGTGAGTGCAGTTTACAAGCCTTATTCATCGTCCCTAGGGCATGAAGTCTCTCAATCTTTCAACAGACTCTTAAAGAATTTTTCATCTGTCCTTTCTTTAAAGGAGAGCCAGCCTTCACTGGATATGAAAAGCAAGCTGGGCACCACTAAACAGACAGAAAATGGGCAATTAGAACCACAAAACAAGGTTCCAGCTGAGGACCTTACACTGACATTCAGGTAACACGGGGCTTCAACCTGTCTTTGTGTAACAGGAAACTGACTTCTTCAGGGCCACTCTCCTGTTGAATAAATATCCTTGCCTCATATCAGCTATGATGAGGAATCACCTACTAGGCAAAGAGAATAAAAATCAAGTTTTTAAAGTGCAGACATGAATTAGGGAGCTCTCTAGCTGTGTAGTAGGTGAGTGGAATAAGACTGTATAAATCAACACAACAGAAGACATGCAGTGTCTGTCAGAGAGGAATCCATCCAGCCAGTATTGGATGATTAGGAGGGAGAAGCAGGAGTTATGAAGCCACCACAAAAGAAATCCTTATCTGCTGTTTTAGTTTCAAATAAAAGAAATCTCTCAAATGTGAAAGTTATTCCATCCTCCTAAGGTATGTGATGTGGATGTTGTCTAGGAAGGCACACCCTTTGAAACTCAGTTCACTTTCAGTTGCCGGTGGTGGACTTTCATCTATGTAGATGCTGAGATTGATTTCAGTTCACATTTAATAGACACTTGGAATAAGATGTTGGCTGGGAATGCTGGAAGTCTCTACAGCAAGTATTTTCAAATGGCCACAAGCATCTATGTGTATTCAGGCCAGCACTGAACAGAGAAGCTTGGATGTTTACAAAACTTCATGTGAGCAGTTTGCAGTATTAATATTTATTCAGAATGAGCATTTTCTGAATAAGTACACTATTGCTGATGAAGTCTGTGCCTTCTTTTTATAACCAGTTCTGGAGTTCTGTGCTGCACCATCAGATTGACACCTCCAGAGCAGGAACTAATTTTTCCATATGGTGCTGTGAAAGTAATGAAATCAAAACAACTGTTTATATTCTTAAAATTAGGGGGGGAAGAAAAGATAAGTTATTATTAGGTAAGTTAAATATTCTGGAATGTGTACACTGAAGGCTGCTTACTTAAAAATAAAGGAAAAAATCTCAGTAATTGCTTCTTTTCACCCACTTCCCCTTTCTCCTCAACTTCAGCAGTGATGTTCCAAATGGATCAGCTTTGACCCAAGACAACATTGGCCTCCTGTCAAACAATATGGCATCTCTCAGCCTGTCAGAGGACCCCGAGGGAGGAGGAGATGGCCATGACTCCCAGCGAGCGGGAGTGACACCCACATCTGCTCCATGAAGCGAGGCCAGCACACCCTGGAATTCCTTCTGCTGGGGTGTCAGCAGCTTCCATCTTGTGTTTTTTTCCAGGGATGATTGGAGAAACCCAGGAGCAGCAGCAGTAGCAGAGCAGCAGGTCCAGAGGCAATGTGCACAAACACAACTACTAGAAACAAATCCTGCACATAGTTCACATTAACGCATTTTTTAATTAAAAAAATGAAAATTAGCAGTATCTGCAAGCAATTCAAATTAAATTTGTTTTTGTTCTGTGAATGAACTTTATTTTAATAACTTTGGACGCCTTGAATCCCAGGGCTTAAAAAAAAAGATATTATATATATATACTCTGTTTGATTAATTGTATGATCTTAATGAAGTAGGTTTTTTTCTTTTATTTTGGTATTATTACATACCCAGTGCATAATTCCTTATTATCTTACTAAAGCAATTTGGCCACTTCCTTGTATGGTTTAAGGGTAAACAAGGAATGAGGGTTGGAGAGTAGCTGTGAATTGCAGTGTCCAAAGATGTGCAGCAAACTTCATGCTTAAAGCAATTCCTTCGACTACAAATGACTGAGTCTTTGCAAAGGTGTGGTTCTTTTTAAAGGCTGGCATTGTTTAAGATCTGTGTATGTTAGAACCTGACAGCTGAGTGTTTGTCAGCCTGCAGTGAATCCACCCTGGATTCCTGTTTCATGGGGGAAGAATTGCACCAAAGTAACCACTGAAGGTGCAGCACAGATCTTGCCAGAAGTATTGAGAAGCAAATTTTGCCTGATAAATCTAATACTTCTCTAAGTGGATGCTTTGTAGGCATAAGTCAGAGAAGTCGTGTCTATTGATTATGTTTTTTAAATTAAAGATTTTGTTCTTGCTGCACATTTTTTTACTTTTTTGGCATATGCTGAGGTAAGATCCTGGATATGAAGACCTATTGAGAGTGATTTTTCAAGTGCTGCTCCCTCTCTACCTTCTTGGCCTGTCCTCATTTTTTTCTTTCTGGGTTCGACTACTAAGTGGGAAAGCACTGGTTATGTAATAAATTACTGCATTGCTTTGGTTGGGTAAAGCGAGAGTTAATAAAGTTTCTTGGGTTTTAGTTTTTTTTTTTTTTCCTTAACCTTAACTCCTGCTGAGGTTATAGCAACCTTGGGCTAAGCTTTGCATTCATCATACTGTTAAATGAAACAAAAGGGGGGTGGGAGGGGATACAGTCTCACTATTGCCTACCAGTAGGAGAGTCCAAACAAAAGACTCTTTTGAGTAGCAATTATTTAATTTGCCCAGTCAAGGCACCGCGTTTATATACTATTTCACATTGAATTTGATTATGCCCTACAGACCTGGCTGGTCAAGGATTTGATACACATATTGGCTTGGGATTCGAGCTTTCTTTTTTATTTAAATAAAAATTTATATATAAATATATATATACATATATACATAGTTATATCTGTATATATATTGGGTATGTTTTAAGAATTTTTTCGCATGAGCGCAGCTGTTGTGATCAAATGTCTGGGAGGTAGAAGCACTGAATGAAAATAAAAGCATTTTTCACCACATCCCCCCACACTTTCCATGTGTCTTAACACGGGTTTATTTCGCTCTTCGTTGAACTTTGGCCTCTTAATTGCCTGGAGTAGTTTGAAGCTTGCTTTTTTCTAATGCCTCTTTTAACTTTTGGCAAAGAATCAACTTTGCACTGAAACAGCTTCATCTCCCCTTGCCCTTATCGATCTGTATCTCCTACTTGAAGCCAAGCATTCCAGCCACTCCCTTGGAGCTGAGCAGAACTGGGGTGATGCAGTTGGGGGAGCCCATCAGGTCTGTTCCTCCCTTCTCTGCTCTGGGCATGAGGAGGATGAAGGTCTTTTCCTGGCTGCCTGCTCCCAAGTCACCTGACAGGCCCTGGGCCCTCTCATCCTTCGGTGCAGAGCACCACCCTCAGGTCAGCCTCTTACTCAATTTTAATTAGTTTGCTCCTTCCTGCTGTGTCGTCATTAGCACAGGGAACTCATCTTAGTCAAGATAATTAGTGCAATATTCTAATCCAGGAGGACAAGCCCAGAATGTGCCTTTTTTTGACTGTAGTAATTGTGGATGTAAAATTAATTTTCAAAGATGGTTATGATAGGTTGGACACTGCAGATTCATTTGTAATACTAGAAAGAAAATCTAGAGGGACAAAAACCTCCTCATGTTTTATTTTCTAGTTCCCTCACCAATTAGGGATTATTCTTTTCTCCACTTTTTCTCCTGGAATTCTTCAGTAAGCACTATTTAGATTGCTGGCCTACATATGATGAATGCTTTTAAAATCTGTGGATTAGAAGGAAGACCTTACTGGGGTATTTTTTTTTCCTTCGTCCAGCCCTCTGTGCTGTACTTTGTGCATAGGATTTTTTTTTCCTTCGTCCAGCTCTCTGTGCTGTACTTTGTGCATAATGTCCTTGTTGTGATCAATGTATCCAGGTGAATGCCCTGTTTGCCCAGAATTATAGTTTGGCTTGTTAAATAGTTTGTTTAATATCTACTAACAGTATTGATTTTCGACTTCGTTTCATCCCCCTCCTCCTCTTACCCTTTTTCTGCTGTTTTTACAAAAGTTTTGTTGATTAAACAAATCAAACAGCAAAATGCAGTGCATGCTTTTAAGTTTTTTCTGGAAACTGCACCTAAAATGTTCCGGTTTTGTGGAAAAACTGGGAGACCATGGGGGACAGATAGCTCTGTATGTAGTGGCAGCATTGATGTTTACAGCTAACAAGTGTGAAAATGTCTGGAGTGACTCTATCTTGCTGCACTCATTCCTGTAGCCCATCATAGTCCCAGTCATACAGGAGTTCTGGCCACCTCAGTGAAATTGGTCTTGGCTACCAAGTGATTTAGTTCCTTCTGTTGGGCAAGAGGAAGCAGTATTGCCATGGTGTCAGGCACTGCTGTGTCCTTTGGTAGGTAGGTTAAATTTTCTGCTGCACCAGACATCTCTGAACCCTCATCGATATCTGAATTTCAGCCAGATGGACAGCATGGACAAACCTTCAGAATAGGAAGCTTCAAGTGGTAGGTTAAGCTTCAGTGTGTCAGTGATTCAGTCAGTATATAGATGATATCTCTTTATTCTGTGGTGTTATTTCCCTCCTTCTGTCAGCATCTCATCTGTCTGTCCTGTGACCTAGTTATTTTTTCTTAATAGGAGAAGTTTAAAGTTTTTCTTCTGCCCTTCTTGCATGCTGTCCCATTTCAAAGTAGGACTTTTTTTCTGTAGATCAGAGCACCTTTCAAGCTAGCAGCACTTTTATCCCTGTTCTTCTCAAGTTCTGCTCTGTGTAGTTTTTTCTGAGCCGTCTCTCCCCTTTTTGTGTCTTTTTCTCCTGTGGCTTGCCCATCCACCCTCCCTGATTGTGTAACAGTGACAGCTTGCTGCCTCAAAACAGAGCATTCAAATGAATTCGCTTAGCCAATAACTTCTGTGAAGTTGCCTTTTCTAATGGTGTTATTACTCAGTGATGCACAAATGTGATATTGCCCCTACTGGTAGGCAAACGGGGGATCTGTATAAACATGGTAAACTGCTGTTTTTGTTTAAAGGAGAGCCAAAGACTTGTGCTTTACACTTTTTTTCCCCCTGGTGTAGCCATTTTGATTGTCAGACATTTGCGTAGGGTACTGTGAGTTGACTGTATTATCCTAATAACAATTTCCAGAAGTTAATGATTGTCAAGCCTTGCCCATGCATTGAATTGTGGAAAATCATTCCATTAAGTCATACAATTTGCAATGTACTGAGATGTATCTGAGGTGTTGTGATGTGTTTTCAGTCTTCCATGCACTCTCAGCTGACTGAATGGCTCATTTAGAGAAGGAGAAGGAACATAGAAATGTTATAATCCCTGAAGCCTTGTTTTTAAGTGTTTCTAAATTAAATACTAATTGAAAATTTCTTCAGTTACAGTAAAAGATAAATCTGTGTTACAAATGTGACTGACTTTTAAATCCACTGGGACGGAAAAGAATTGTGAAACACTAGCATTGCATTAAATTAGATGTGGAAGAACCAAACTTGTGATGATATTGTCTCTTGGCAGCATGGACTGAGTAAGGTGGGGCAAATTTTTTATTAGAAAGGGCCACAAGTGAAGTTTTGATTGATAATACAAGAAAGCTGATGGCATTCCCCTTCCTTGAGCTACTCAAATTCTCACACACTTGTTTACTAAAGTTTTTAGGTTCAAAAAGAAATCTCTTAAAATCTGAGTAGCATAAACCCTCATTTCCATTGCCATTTATAATTTTTGGACTATAACAAACCACACTGACAAGACAGTCATCTGAAAGACCTCCAGTATGAAGTTTTTTTCTGGAGTGGCTCTTTCAGACCTGCTTTTATGGTCCAAGAAATGCCATGCCAGTGTTCAGGAGGCTCAACAGCAGGAGTGCCAGCCACCTTCTCCGCTCAAAAATGGGAGAAAAGACTCAAACATATGCAGCGTGCAAGCTTTTGTTCTTGTCTGTGTGTGTATGGAGAAGTGTTTTTGGTCATAGGATAGATAGAAGGAACACAGAGCAGTGCTGCTGAGGCATGATGTTACATTCATATTCAAGTTTTGTAAGCATTCACTTTCCAAAACACAGCCTTCCATTCCTGCCTCCTAACGTTGCTGATTTAAAAACAACCCAAAAGAAGTTAGCATGTCAGCAACTTAATTTCTTGTATCATAATAAATCAGTTCCCCCGAGGGGAAAAAAGAGAGCAACATGGTAATGGAGTTATGAACTGGAAAACCATTCACCTTGCTTGAGTATGTGTAAACTGAATTTCTGAGGAAAAATGAAGCAGCTCTTCTAAGCCACAGCTATGGTGCCAAGAGATGGGTGGTAAATCAGCATACAAATTATTCTGTAACACAAATTGATTTGCTCTCAATTCGAATTGACTCTTAATTCCCAATGAAGTTTTTGACATTTTTTCATTTCCATAGTCAGCTGTTACCAACTGCATTATTTTCTGTTGGAATGTCAGGGGATGACAGAGACTAGAGTTAAGTTAATTCTAGTTATACAACATAAGAAAGGGATTTGGGGAAATGTTATCCCAGCACAGTGTCCTTCTATAGTTAACATGTGGCCTTTATTCTTCTGTAGGAAGAAGAATGTAACTGCTTAGTGTTGTCACAGTCTTTGAAGCACTTCTTGTGATGCAAGTAGAGCCTTGGTTAGCAGAGAAAGGAGAACAAACTTAACATTTATTTTCTTTATAATTTTATTTCCTATTGGCAAGTGTAATGTTATGCCATGGGGAAGCAAAGAGGCTGCAGCTTTTTCTGAAATTTCCTAATGTAAAGAGTGCATTGCAATGTGGGTTTGTCTGCATCAGGAACATCGCAGTCATTTAATGTTTAAAATATGTGGCCATAATAATCAAAATTGGATGCCTGTAGCTTAGTAACATGAGTAATTAACTGATCTTTCCCAGGCAATCTTTGCAATTCCAGTGAGTTTGTGTATGATTTTTAGTGCTAATTGCAAGATGTTCAGCAGTTGGGAAGGTTTAGGTGCCTAACTTCATCCAGCAAGGCAGCTTTGCTTGGATATACTGGTTGGATGTTTTCATATGCCAGGAAAAAACTGTTTTGAAGATCTGCAAGTTTTAGGAAAACACAATTGTCCGCTTCAATTTGAAAAATACAGCATTGGAAGAGACAGAAGCAACAGGTAGTGCAGTCTCTGGAAATAAAAAGCATTAGACATGATGGAATTACATGTGAAATGTATATGGGGTAAATGTATCTGTAAGTGGAAAAAAAAATATTGTGGAGTACTTGATGCTCAAGAAATTATTTGCTTCTTTGTAATGTTAAAAATATTTTATTAATAGTTCTGTGGCAGACACTACTCACAAGTCTTTGGCATCCAAACCAGATTGTATATCAGATGGATCCCACAACTGGATGTGTGCACTGACCTCTTTATTTGTAGCTTTTAAAAATGAATCTGGCAGCAGCCTTTGATAAATGCATGAAGCAACCTGAGAGGAAGCAACCTCGTTCACATCAAGCTGCTGCTCAGCTCCCAATTGGTGCTGTTCATCTGCAGCCTCTCCTAAGTGACGCTGATCAACATGGGCAAAACGAATCACTTTTACAGTTTTTCCTAATTTTAAGGAGTTCCCATTCCCCCTTTAGCCTCAGTTTGCTGTGTAAGCAGCTTCCATGCTAAAAGGATCTTTCCTTGAAGTCAGCAAGTGTTCTGTAGCTTGGCTATTTTTCTCTATTTTCTCTAACTGGTAGCGTTGTGTTAAGCTCTTCCCCCCCTTGTATTTGTTGCTGTGGGGAGGAAGAGGTGAAGCAAGACTTGTGTGAGAGGAGGGAGGAAGAATTGTGGGATCTGTATGACAGCTCCCACTTCTTCTTTGAAATCATCCACTTCCAGTTGTGGGATTTCTCGATACATGATTTTTTTTTGTGGTTATTGTAAGTCTAATTTTCTTTGATCTTGTTAGTTCCTTACAAGTCTCCCCGAGACATTCTGCAGTCATTATCACCTTTTTGGGTGGAGTTTATTTTATTTTTTGGGTTGTTTGTTTGTTTTGTTTTTTAAATAACTTTTTAACATTGGTGCATATATGCTTGGGATAGAGCTCATGTAATTATCCAATCGTATTGATTGTATGTGATTGTGCCCTGCAGAGGTATATTTAACAAAAAATAAAATAAAGGATAGTCTAGGTAATAAAGGAGACCATGAAATTTGTTGAGTCAGGTTATGAACTATTTCTTAAATTTATTTAGGATCCTAAATAAGTGAAATTCCATCTGTTGTTCTCATGAATCAGTGCTAAACAAAATATCATTCATTCTCTCCTTGTGTTTTTCCTTGCTTTTCTTCTCCTTCTGCTGTTTTCTTCTATTCCTGTTTCTCTTTCCCATAAACAAAATTCTCAATCCTTCATGGGAGTGGCTTACTCTGGGTTGATATTGTGGATATTTATTGTTTGTAACTATCAAAACATCCTGAATAGGAGTAGAGATAAAATAGAATGTATGAGAATTCCATAAATTGAATTCTTTGCAGGTTCAGGGGAATTATGAAGTCTTGTTCATACAGGCCTGGTCATGAAAGAGATGTTCAGAGGTACATGGGCAATTGCTATGTCTTTTCCAGGAAAGTTTAGATGCTTTGCTACCTTTTGGGAAAACTGAGATAAGAAGAAAGTTCTCTATATCCAACTCCCTGTGTCTTTACTCCTACAGTATACTTTGTAGACTTGAAAGAAAAATCTTCTAGATACTCTGCTGAAGTGGGATAGAATGCATTGAAGGAGGCAAAAGGCAAGAGGATCAGAGATTTTAAAATCAGTATTGGTCTCCTTTATTTAATTCTCAGACCTATAGAGCCAATGGTGTCACTTTTGTGTGAAAGACAAGGGAGTGGAGACCTACTGTACGTGGATAGCAGTTATATAGAAAAAGCCATATGTTGAAATGCTATTTCTTCTTCCCTCTTCACCTTGCTTTTCTCCCTCTTAAAGCTGACTCAACCTCACCTTTCTCTCACAGAATGTCTGAGGGTCCTTTGAATTGCAGATTGAACAAAAAAAAGTTGGAAAATGATTCACTATTTGGTTTGTAAATAGATGGAAGTGTCTACAAAGTCTTACCTGCTTTTCTGTCAGCATTTATATTAAGTGATAAATTAATGAAGAACACTTTGAAATATCTCTTGTTTTCTGTCTGGGATGAAGGTACATTCTTCTAAATTTTGTGGGAGATGTGAGACTGTTGGACCATCTGAGTAAGATTTTCATCAGCTCAGGGTGTGTGTGTTCTCTGCCAGGCTGGAGCATAAGAGATGCCAAATAGCAGAGAAGCCATGGCTCCTGGGTTTGGTCTGCTCTCTTCTGACTTCACCTATAAACAAAGTGGCTCCTTCACTTGTTCACCAGAGGTGATCAAGAAAAGATACTCAATCAGTTTTGTTAATTGCTCCGAGTGTACGTATTTGAAAAGCAAACCAGACCCTTCAGAGCAAGGACTGAGCAGGATTTGTCTCATGTTGAGCCTGGTTTGGAACTTGCCTTAAAGTGAGAATAAGTTTTGCACCACAGTCTGCTTTGTGGTTTTTAGTCTTCTCCTTTCACACCTTTTTGTGGTCTTTAATAAGTCATTGTCTGTAAATCTGAAACTGGATGAAGCTGCTGCTTCACTAAGAAATTGTTCCTTCTCCTACTCCAGGGCATGCACAGCCTTCTGCCCCTCAAGTTTGTGCATAATGTTCATTACCATTGTGTTTATTGTTGTTGAGCCTGGGCACCATGGATCAAGGTAAGGTGTGTTTTGCTGGGCTGAAGCCCAGCACTGCTCATTATTAGGCCCCTCACACTTCCACACTTAATTGCTGGATGAATCGAAACATTGAGTTCCTGTAAAGGAATTGTATTTATTGGGAAATCCAGCAGAAAACTGGATTCAGTTTCAGTTGGTGATGATTTCCTTACCCTTTCTCCCACTAGTCTGAAGATTTAGGATCCTCATGTAGTTAGTGACTCACTTCAGAAGGGAAAAAAAGAGCTGAATTCCTACAGTGGCTGGCTTTTAAAAGGAAGATCTGAAGCACTGTGGAGAGTCAGATCCCTCTGGAAGGAAGTGGTAGGTGCATCAAGAGAGACTGGGGGAAACTTGCTAGGTTTCTTTATGTGGAAAAGAGGGGAGACCAGGCTCAAGTGGATCGTACCTGCTGGAATTTTTTCCCCTTTGGATATGGATAGTGGGATAGGAAGAATCTTGAAAAGCCTAGCTCATGAGATTCCTTGATCCCATCTCGCTCTGTGAGTGCAAGAGTCATTTTCCCTGTGCACAGCCATGAAACTCAACAGTGAACACCCAAAGCACAAAACAAAGCCGTTTATGTTCCTCTTCACCAATCAGGTTTGTTTAAGAACTGTTTCTTTCCAGCTAAGATGTGTCCAGTTGTTTCTGTAACCTCCTTCCTTCCAGCTGTGAACTCCAAATCCCTGTCTCCAGGACTAAACAAGTGGGAGAGACTAAAACCAAAGCTTGATGCTTCATCTGTCTTGCCACAGGCTGCCAGGTTTTGGTCCTTGATGGTTTTGAGCCTCTGATCTCTGCTTTGTGTCTGAGAGCAGCAGCTTTGGGAGAAAACCTGCCCCTGTATTAGAACAAACAAGGCATCTAACAGTTTGTATTAAGACACTGGCCATCTTGGGTGCTTCCACAGGCATAGCTCTGCTCAAATGCAAGTGCTGGGTGGTTGTTTAGAGCTAAACCAGCCATAAATTACCAATTACCTGCTGCATTCAAAAGATAGATTTACTCAGTTACCCTAGAATAAATGCCTTGGGAGCTCTGTGGGATGTGCATAGTTGTTCACTTTAGGTTTTACTGCTTTAAATTACCTCTGAGCACTGGGTAAATGGAAACCTGTGCTTGGATGTCTGCCTGGCTGTGAAGCATCCCTGATCACTTTGAAAACCCTGAGATCTGTGAGCATGTCGGTTCCATCAAAAAATTAAACCAGCAGCCACCTGAAGTAACAAGGTACAGTATGTGAGTCCTTCCTTTCTCATGGAGGATGTTTTTGACATTACCCTTTAATTTATCTCCACAATCTCTGTCCCAATTAACCATGTTCCATACTGATACAGTAAAGTATTTTACTTAACCCAAAGCAGTTTGCAATTGCATTTTCCATTAAGGGAAAACGTTCCTCTTACTGGAGGCCAGGAACAGGATGGCTCCAGCACGTGCTGAGCCAGCCTGCTCCTGGGATTTGAAATTCAGGGGGCAATGCTGCAGAATTCAGGTGTTCAGTCCTGCTCACTACTCTGCTTTGTGAATCTGGACAGAGTTGGGGGATCTGCTGTTAATCCTCAGCTTTCCAGCTGTGCAAGTAGAAAGTCACAGAATCACAGAATATCCTGGACTGGAAGGTACCCACCAGGATCACAGAGTTTAACTCCTAACCCTGCACAGACACTCCAACAACCCCACCCTGTGCTGAAAGTGTTGTCCAAATGCTTCTGGAGCTCTGGCAGTCTTGAGGCTGTAACCATTCCTTGGGGAGCCTGTTGCAGGTGAGTGTGTTTAAGATGGGATGTATTTGAAGCTGTAGAATGTGTAGTGGGGCAATTTTTCCCAACTTCTGTCTGTTCAGGAAACGGGAAGCAGGTGAAAGGGCTTGGGACAGATGGGGGAAACATTTTGCTTAGCTACAAGATCCCAAAATTACATCGAGAAATAGCTTATATAATTTTTATTCAAACTCTTGAAGGGTTTGAGGCTTTTCTTATGGGATAAGCAGTTCAATTTCTGTCAGCAGAAAGTGAGGGCCTGTGGCACTCGCATGGGATAGGTGGTCAAACTCTCCTTTGTCAGATTGAACTTTAAAACCTCTTTCAAACTAAACATTGCCTCTTTTTTTACTACTCTTTGCTTAACCTTCGGCAGCTGGTCATCAGCCTTTGGCCTTAGCATCCTACTCCCCTCCCACCATCCCCTGCTGCCATCTCAGCTCTGTTTGAGCACAGAAATTCAGTGGGGAAACTGCTTTGAGCTCAAGGAAGACTGTTCTCTCAAAAATTTGCATTTACCTCCTGAAAGCAGAAGGCTGGAGGTACAGGGGCAGGTAAGAGAAACAGATGCCACTCATCTTTCATTGTTAATTAATTCCTTGAAACTGCTTCTTTTCCCTTAGTAGGAGCCTATGAATTTGAGCTGCTGCCACAGTGCTTTTTGCTGTATTAGAGAGGGTCCTCCCACTCTAGCTGTCATGATGGCTGGTTTTCTCAATTGTCAGGCTTGACTTATCTCCAGCCTGCTGCAATTGTGGTGTGGAGGGCAGTTAATAAAGTCAGGATGCCCTGATAATTGCTGGCTGTGAAAGAGCACTGCTGGTTTGCTCTAGACTCTGGTTTTGGGGTGTGAGGCAGTGGGGAAGTTTTCTAAAGAGCCTAAATTAATCTCAAAATGGCTTGAGCTATTTTACATGAGCTGGGCTGTGTAGCACAGTGCGTGGGTGCTGTGGGACATTCCCACCACTACCAGTAGCCCCAGTAGGTTCAGTAGGGTGAGTGCTGGGGGTCTGCACGTCCAGTTAATCATCGTGTCCTGCAGCCATGGTACAGTGGGATGGAAATGGTGTGTGCTGGTGAGAGCCCAACCATGTTGCACAACAGCTGAGGGGTCAGGAGTTTCTCGATGCTTCCCCAGAGCCTTCTGATTTTGAGCTGAATCAGCAACTTATTTCTTGGCTTTCTGCACTTTTTGTTGCTTCACCCTTGTAAGAACCTTTTCTAATTTCTACATTCCCCCTTGCCAGTAACCCCTTTCAGGCAGTGCTGTTGTGGGAATACTTTTGGTATCCTTCCAGGTTGACACATGTCGGTGCTGCAGAGGAAAAGGGAGGGCTGAAGAGCTGTGGGCTAGGGGGAGTGGGTTTTGGCCAAATGCTACAACAAAGAGCTGGTCTAAGAAACAACAGGGGCTCTTGCCTGTAAGAGACCAGATTGGATGTGTCAGAGGCTGGGTCAACCGTAATGGATGGTAAAGTAGATTTAAGGTACTAGCTTAAAGTCTTGTATCTTACCTGAATTAATGGGGTTGGGACTTTACTGCAGAGAGAAAACAGGGAGTCTTTCTCATTTAATGGGGACAGGGTGAGGATGGAGGTGCCCTCTCCACTCTTGTGCTTTGGCTTTTAAATACGAGATTAGATTAGCAGCACTTTGTGTGATGGAAAACACCACGAGCTGCTTCTGGCTTGACAGAAGGAGCTGTTTGTCCTTGTACAGATAGGGTTAGGACAGGCTTTCCCTGGAGGTGAGTGGACTGACAAGGCAGGGACCATGGTGAGGTGGTCCTTTCCATGGTGGGACTGGCTGCAAGTGCATTGGTGCTGCTGGAGCTGCAGGACCAAGTGTGGGTGAGGGAGGGCTGCTGCAGGCAGTGAAGGGCTCTGCTCCTGGCCCCGGGATTGCAGAACTCTGGACTGTGTCTGGCTTGTTGCTGGCTGACTTTTCCTGTGGAATTGAAAGGTTCGGAAGACCAGCACTTCCTGGAGTATTTTCAATTGTCTTAATATTTTTCCTTTCTCTTGGCCTGGGTGTTTTGGTGGGGGTTTTTTTTGGTGTTGTAATTGGCTAACTTCCCTCCCTTTTCAGATTTTTCTTTTTACCCTTTGTGGTGTTGCATCTGTCCTGAACCTTTCACAAGATAATCTGTGTCACTACCTGTGAGAGCTGTGGCCATGGCCTGAGGGAGTTCCTCCTGTTTTGTTGTGCTGTCACACAGCTTTGGCACTCCAGACAGTTTTGGTGTCAGATGAGGTAATTGCTGCTTTTGCAGAGGAACTGGAGCACAAATGAAGTCATTGGCCAAGAGCCCAGGGAGGGGGCTGTGGAAGAACCCAGAGGTCTCCTTCATCCCAGCTCAGCCTTTGAGCTGCTCCTGCTTTCCCCCAGCAGGTGCTGGCCCACCAGCGCTGGAAGATCACACACATGGAGGTCACCAGTGCTAAATGCAGATGATTTTCAATTTAGTTTCTCAGAAGGCAACTCTTGGTAGCCATGGCAGTGAATATGTGGAGACAGGCAGAGAGACTTACTCGACTTAGACACATGTTTGAAAAAAGTGCCCTGTAGCAGGCAAGACCTGGGCAGGCTGCCAGCCCCTCCCAGTGGTTGTTTCCCAAACTGTTGTGGCTGTGGTGCTTGAGCTTCCTCCCAAGGGATGCATAAACAAAGCAGTCATGCAAGGGGCATCTTAGAACCACAGGCCACATGAGGCCTTGCTGCCAGAGCTGGTGGGTGATGGGATTTAGGAGGAAATTATTCCCTGTGAGGGTGGGGAGGCCCTGGCACAGGGTGCCCAGAGAAGCTGTGGCTGCCCCTGGATCCCTGGAAGTGTCCAAGGGAACAACCTGGACTAGGGAAGGTGTCCCTTCCTATGGCAGGGGGTGCAACCAGATGGTATTTAAGGTTCCTTTTAATTGAAACAATTTTGAAGTTCAGTGTGCTATAGCAAAGGGAAAAAATATAAATTATCTCTCTCTTGCTGGGAGATCTTCAGAGACCTGCTTTTGCTGGAACA